CCTCAAAATAGTAGAATGATACGAAATCCGGGGTTTCATACCCTCAGGACTAGATTTACAACCGTTACTTACCTCAAACCCATCTCTATCCTGAAATGCTCTTGCCTCTCGACTCGGCCTCCAAATGCTCCGAATCTATTAACAATCAGTACAATGCCATCAATATACGCTAATGGAATGAATTCCACAAGAAAAACTATCAAATTAGCCCAAAACCCGAAATTGGCTCAAACCCGACCCCCGGGGCCCATGACTCGGAATTGGGTAAAGTCACAAATTACGAACACGTATTCATTCACGAATCCAACCATACTAGTTTCACTCAAATCCGACTTCAAATCGATATTCAAATCCCAAAAATTCATTTTATGAAGTTTCTACAATTTTTCCCAAATTTCCACCTCAAAGTACTAATCAGATGATGAAATCATTGATATATTCATGTATATTAACCAAATTCAAATTAGAATCACTTACCCTGATAAATTTCTTGAAAAACCCACGAAAAATCGCCACAAACCGAGATCCCTAGGTCCAAAATGTGAAATAATTCCCTAAACCCCGTTTATAAAGTGCACCTCTGGCCTCCCACTTCGCGGTCTGCAAATATTCGAATGCGGTCGCGCCCCAGGTCTCGCGGTCGCGAAAAAATGGTGTGATCTGCGAAATTCTGGGGCTGCGCTGCTAGGCTTTAGTATATTGGCCATATCTTTCTCTACACATGTCTAAATGATGACTTCTTTTCTTTTCTGGAAACTAGACATGAAGGGCTACAAATTTCATTTTTTAAATCATCTCAAAATTCCTTGTAGATCAAACGATATAGGCTTCCGAAGTCGGACCAGCGGATCTGCAGAACTTTCCCCGGAGTGCGGCTGCGGCAGAATTATGCGGTCCGCGAAATTCCAAGCGCCAGAACCATACCTGAGTTCTGGAAATGGACGGACTCGCTCAATACTCACCCCAAAACATACCCGAGACCCCCGGGACATCAACCAAATATACCAACCAATCCTAAAATACCATACGAACTTAGTCGAACCTTCGAATCACTCAAAACAATATCAAAACACTAATTTACCCTCGGATTCAAGCCTAAGAACTTCTAAACTTATAAATTCGACAACTGATGCCGAAACCAATCAAATCACGTCCGAATGACCTCAAATTTTGCACACACGTCACAAATAACATTGCGAACCTACTCCAACTTTCGGAATTCCATTTCGACCCTGATATCAAATTTTCCACTGCCGACCGAAATCGCCGAATTTCCAACTTTCGCTAACTCAAGCATAATTCCACTACGGACCTCCAAATCACATTCTGGACGCGCTCCTAAGTCCAAAATCACCTAACAAAGCTAATGGAACTATCAGAATTCCAATCCGAGGTCAACTGCTAAAAAGTCAAACTTGGCCAACTCTCCCAATTTAAAACTTCAACAATGAAATTCTTTCTTCCAATTCGATTCCGAAATACCTGCAAACCAAAAACGACGATTCACACAAGTCAAATTATATCATACGAAGCTACTCATGCCCTCAAATAACCGAGCGAAGTGCAAATGTTCAAAACGACCGGTCGGGTCATTACATTTTGTATGGTTGGACTCGTCTCGGAATGGGTGTTCGGATTTCATAAGTTTTTTCGAGATTCGAGACGTGAGCCCCACTATCAATTTTTAAAGTGAATTTTAGATTTTATCCGAAAAATTAGTAAATTCATATGGAATTAATTTTTATGATTTGTATTGAGTATATCGAATTGTTTGTGAATAGATTTGAAGCTTTTGAAGACAAATTTAAAAGGAAAAGATGTGATTGAGTATTAAGTGGCCTTCAGAGCGTGGTAAGTGTTATGTCTAACCCTGACTTGAGGGAATTAGGAATCTCAGATTATTTGCTATGTGAAATTCATGTGAGCGACGTGTATGTGAGGTGACGAGTACTTATGCGCCGCCAATTTACCTGTTTTTTCCCGTTTTTCTTATATTGTCTCTTTCCTACGCCTAATTGTTACGTGTTTAGACTAGTGTTGTTAAATGGATCATTCTTGTCAGTTTACGGATTCTATGGTAATAACTAAGTATTTATTTCAAAGTTGAAATTGATATTGTGGAACCAAATATTGAAGTAAGGCTTGTACTTATTATTCTATCTTCCTGTTGTTATTTATGCATTGCATTATGGTAAGGAAGAGTGTTAATGTATGAAGGGTGATGTCGTGCCATATTGTGAGTGTTAATGCACGAAGGGTGATGCCGTGCCATATTGTGAGTGTAAAAGCATGAAGGGTAATGTCGTGCCATATTGCGAATGTTAATGTACGAAGGGTGATGTCATGCCATGATATGAGAGTTAATGTACAAAAGGTGATGTCGTGTCGTTTCTATTGATTTTATGGTGAGATTGAGAGTAGAAGCACGAAGGGTGATGCCGTGCTTTTTTCCTTTACTGTATTCGTGCTCCTGTTGATTCATAGTATATTGGTTGTTCCAGTTCTCATTCTGCTGTAGCTCTTTATGTCGTATTCCCCCCAGCATGTTTCCCCCTCCCGATGATTCTTGTCTAGCTCTTCATTACTGTTATTTGTATATACACTATTAAATTGCACAGGTTGACTTGTAGGTGTCTTGCCTTAGCCTCGTCACTACTTCGTCGAGGTTAGGCTCGACACTTACCAGTACATGGGGTTGGTTGTACTGATACTGCACTCTGCACTTTCTGTGCAGATTTTGGTACCGGCTCGGATTGATCGAGATCTTAGCTGTTGGACCCGCTATCCGGAGACTCAAGGTAGATCTGTCGGCGTTCACAAACCTTGAAGTCTCCATCTATCCTTCTGTTTTACTGTTCCTTTCATTCAAACAGTTGTATTTCTTTCAGACTATTACTTGTAGTAAATTCTAGAATGCTCGTGAATTGTGACTCCAGATCCGGGTGGTAGTAATTAATATAGATTTTATATTATTCCGCACTTATTATATTTCATCTTAGCTAATTCTTGTTATTTACTGAGTGGAAATAAGGATTTGGTTTAATGATTCTCTAACGTTGACTTGCCTAGCAAATGAAATAGTAGGCGTCATCATGGTCCCGACGGTGGGAATTCCGGATCGTGACACCGTCATGGTCTAAGATGGAATTGGGTCGTGACAGTTTAGTATATGATTGTTAGTCAAATTTCATCCTTTCTGCTTCAAGATTGTGAGTATTTGTTAGCTCTAACAAGGAGGTAAGGGTAGTGCAAAAGCTTAAACTTTTTGCTCTTTGTTATTCGCTTCAAGAAAGCACTTTTACTCCTACATTGTTCTAGCCATTTTGAGATTGAGAGCTTTTGGCTTGATAAAACCAATTAATGGTTTACAAAATCAGTATTTAAAGGCCAGAATTGTGATTTTGATAGATAGGTAAGCCTGAACAAATATAAATAGCAGGTTCCTTTCACACCGTCTCTGATACTTGTGTCTGTTTGAATTTGCCTGCACATAGATGAGCTATATCTTCCGTTGTCCCAACATTGTTAGATTCGGTGAAACTATTGATCCTATAAAATTAATTGAGTTAGGTACTCAAAAAAGGTTCTGATAGTATATTTCGCATGCTTCGTTATGCTTTACTCTCTTAAATTACTTTGCCTTTTTAATTTTTCCAAATTGAATCTGTTGAAGATTCATGAACGCTGCTACCATTTAAAAGTGTCCTGTTTTCTTCCACCTTGACACCTTTTGACAGATGTCTATTGTCTTGCTTCTTTCTTTCAGGTGATTTTTGGTAAAAAAAAAAAATTAAGAAGGTATAACTTAATATAAAGGGATTCCACAAATGCCTCCCCGATCTCCATACATGCATGTCGAGCAAATTTTATCGCTGGAACATGTGTGTTGTTGTCTTCTTGGATAAAATTTACTATACAAATTATCCTAACATCCTGTATTGATTACTCTTTTTAAATGCAGTTACGTTCACTTTTGCGTCTGCTTTCTAGATGCTCCTATACTCGAAAAATGTCACGGGGACACGAGGTTAGCGTACTTGATTACAAATCTAGACTCCAATTGCTTTTTCTAAACTTAACTAAATATTCATTTTGCTATACTTTATGTGATAGTGAAATACTGAAAGTATTACTAAAATATTGAGATATAAAACTATACTATAATAATGTGGAATATATAATAGTAATTAATAAGAGGTTTGGTTGGTACTAATACATTGTATGCAAAGAGAGATTGTGGTAACTGGTTCTCAGCAAGTTCCCTGCTTGAATAGTAGCCAACTATATAATTGATCTTCTTGGCTAAACATCTTGTTTGACATACTATAATAACAACTCCTATATTGTGTTTCTTGTGATCTTTAACTGTTTGATTGTATTTCTATTAGAATTATCTGTTCATGTAAAGAGTCTTACACAAATAAAATATTCAAATTAACTCGTTACGAATAATCCATGAAATTGTCCTTTATTTAATTTCAATAATTAATAATCTTTTTAGTTTGCGTAAAAATATACCAAAGGAGTCATAAAATTGGAGAGGGCAAACTTACTTTTGTACATTGTTTGGCATCAGAGACGGATTTATGTGGAGGGGGTGGGGTACATGCACCCATGCTCCCCTCCCTAGGCTATGTGTATACAGTATAAAATTTTCAGTTATATACATAAATATATTGGTGACCACTCATGCTCAATTAAATACTTTGGTGCAATGGTGATTGAGTGCCCCTTTTGTGTCTCTGGTCCAGAGTTCGAATCCCATTCCCACATACTTTTTTTTAATTAAATTTTTCTTTTTTATTTCTTTTCTAAAGTTGCTTTTGACTTATAACTTAAAATTTCTAATTTTTTTCTTTCCTGAAATTTCTTTTGACTAAAAACATCTAACAAATCCCTAAAACACTAAGACCCCACCCCACGTCCCTTTTTACTATTTTTTTCTTTCCCTTTTCTCTTAGTCAAATTTTCAAATCTCTAAAATAAATTAGATGCAACTACTCTCTCCCTCTCTCTTCAAATACCCCATCTCTCTTCGCCCTCGGTAGATACTTCAAGAATCAATAGCGCAATTTCTTCTCATTGGTCTTGCCTTTAGTTTCTCAAGTATGCAACTACCATGTCTCTCTTCTTGCTCTATATTTTAATTTATTCGCTGAAATTTCTTCTCCTCTTGCAATTTTTCGAATTCTCTTTTCCCTTTCTGTTTAATATTTGAATCTCTTGCCAAGATTTTGTCTTGTTGTTGGTTATTATTATTGTTTATTTCTAAGATTTGGTTGTTGAATGCTATTTCTTGGGATATTTGGGAGAGTTATGGCTTTAAATTCTTGAATATTAGCAGTATTGATTTGCGCATATATTGTGTTTGAGAAAATGTTTGATCGTGTTTAGTTAAGTATGGGCTATGTGAACTTAATTTCTGACTAATTATTAGTATTTTGGGTCAAGATAACATAAGATTGATCTGCTAAGAACTAGAGTTTAAACTTCTGCTAAGAATTCTCTAAAAATGAAGTAATTACTAACAATCAAAGAAAGAATCATACTATGAAGCCAATGATAAAACTGATCTAATGTAGTAACCGATTCATTTGTGTCCCTTAAATCCAATTATTCTATAATTTGAATCATACTATTCTCCTTGAATTAAGATAGATTGAATAAAAGTGTAAATGTTTAACTTTATAGGAACGATTATCCTTAACATTGAAATGGACAGATATCTCACCAAGCCGAAAAATGGTGAGCCAAGTTCTAGTACTACTCGGTCATCCGTGAGTTCACAAATAGCTCCGAAAGTTCAAAAGATGACAAATCCTTCACTGCTTTCAAATAGTGCACCCATAATCTTAAAATCCTGGATACGCCTCTGTTTGGCATAGCTCACCTAGGTATTACTAATGCATTTACTATGTTTGGAATGTATTAAATTTTTCAACATCTCAAATTCTGTTTTGATGTTCTATTTTCTTTTGCTTTTATGGCCACGCTTAAATCACCAGTGATTTAAATTGATCTTTCTTGGCATGAATTGAAATGTTTAAGCTACAAAGTGTATCGTAACTGCTGTTTTGATTCAACTATTTTCTATTTCATATATGCTCTGACTTTTACTAATTATTAAACAAGTACTTTTTTTGTCGCTTACCTGAAATTTTGCCATCTTGTATATTTCAACTTGTGTGCTTCTACCACAAGCATGTGATCATTATCATATTTTTCCCTAAAGATATGTAACCTTCTAATTTATAATTGGGTCAAGAACTACCAGAAAAAGGACCAGAAAGAAAACTAAAGACCGCATATGTAAATAGTTATATCATACATGTTGTAACTATTGTGGCACTTTAAGCATCCCTTAATGTGATGCTCCCGTGGATGCAAATAATATATATTTTGTTCAAATGTATGTAAATTAAGTGTGTATGATTTAGCATGAAATATTGTCTACGGGATTCCATACTTACTTCATTAATACCTACTATATTTGCAATTAGATAATACGTAAAGTTAAATAATGTTGGGCTCGTGCTGGCACGGGCTGCACCAACCTAGTTATAAAAGAAAATATAGTTGTATTTAAATATTAACCATCTAATTAAATTTTTTGTATGATAACTAAATCTTGCAATATAAAATATCTTTTTGTTTTGCGTATTTTTCAATTTGAGTAATATCAATTTCATATTAGGTACTTGAGCAAATATAATTTATTTTTAAGACAGTTAAGGACATATTATTGTTACATGATATTTGAGTAAAAATCAACATATATTCTACTATATATATCGAAGTTTTGACAAGGTATTACGAATGACATAATTTTTATTTATTTATTACGTTAGCTAAATGGGATTAATATTCATTATTTTCAAGAGTTTATGGTTTTATAAAATTTTATTTTATAACTCAATCGCATAAATTAATATTATTTACGTAATTTATTTTTAATTATTATATTCATCAGTATGAATACACGCGCAAAGCACGTACCCTAACTAGTATATATAAAGGAGGGACAAAGAGTGATGATTTGGCACCTCTCTTTGGCTTGGAAAAATATTTATCTTTTTTGTTATTTTTCTATTAAATATCTATATTTTTTACCAACAAAAAAATATAATCGTCGCAACACTTCAGTTGTTGAAATATACAGTTACAACTACTGGATTTAAATTATAGTGGCCCGTGGTTGAACTGTCTTTTCCTATTCAAAGTTTTACTTTAAAAAGCGTTAAAGTCTCCACAAATTCTTATTTGTTATAAGAAAAATCAAATTATGGTGGATGTCTACTCTTCCTCCATGATCTTCTCAAATACTTAATGACATATTCAATGACATATTTCTATGCTTAATGACATATTCAATGACATATTTTTCTTCACTTTTTATGCCTATATAAAGGCCTTGTAATAGATAGGAAAATACACACAATTGAAGAAGAAAATCTCTTCCTTCTCTCTATCTCCATTTCTTGTTCATGTTTTACTAAATTGCTTTTATTTCATAACAACATGTCTTGTTCATGTTTTGCTAAGTTGCTTTTATTTTATAACATTATTATATTTCTTCTTCCCTATAGTTAATGTTATTAAATTGTATTAATTGGTGCACAACTTTAAATACAGGTAAAATACTCATCAACGCCATAAAACTAATATGGCAGTTATGATGAAGGTCGAAAACATTCGAAACACACAAGAAATAATCATATTCCAATCAACAAGAAGACACTACCTAATTAAGCTTTGGCTTTCGCTTTCAGTGGGGAATAAAAATCACGCCTTTGTTCTTCTCAAAAGAAGAGGTTTCTGAATTTGGCTCAAAGTATCACGACCCAAAATCCAAAAAGGTCGTGATAGCGCCGGACATCACTGTCAGGCAAGCCAACAGTAAGTACTTAATTGGGTTCTCATTTTGTTACTTTTGAAAATATTTTTACTTCAATTTAAATCATAAAAGATGAAGTTTACAAGATAAATAATAATATCTTTAAAATTATCAATACAGCACAACCCATAATCCTCCCAAAATTCGGTGTCACAAGTGCATGAACATTTAACTAGGAATGTAAAATAAAATATAACAGCTGTCCGGAATACAAATTTGGACAGAAAAAATGTAAGTACTCTGAGGGAGACTCCGCTGGCTGCGGATCGTCGTATAGAATGCAGCTCACCTAAGTCCCTGCCATAATCGCGCTTTTGCGCCCACAAGGCCGCTAAACATATATGTACCTGCACAAAAATGTGCAGTGAGTGTAGCATGAGTACGTAAATCAACGCGTACCCAGGAAGTATCCCGCCTAATCCCGAAGAGGTAGTGACGAGGGGTCGACTTCGACACTTACTATGGGTTATAAATAAATGGAATAATATCATTAAATTAGATATGGATTAATTAATACGGTTGCAAACCCAATATTCTAAAGTAAGTAAACAATTCTTTCATAATTAAGGAAATCTCCAAATTTTATCTCCCATTATTTAATGATTATACCTTCGGCCAATGAGGCCATATCAAATTATCAGTTTATCTTAGACCAGGGAGGCAATATCGTTATTTATAAATTTTAAGGCAAGCAATACAAACATGCGCAAGTCATTGCCGAGGTTGTACGGTCCGATCTAACAATTATTTAAACTGTGCATTTTCAGAGGGTCGAATAGCGGAACCATAGATGCATCTATTTAATCTACCGAGGCGTTCGGCCCGTTCCACAAAAGATAACACATTCAAATAATCAATCAAGAATTCATCAAGGGGCAATTATCCAAGGAAAAGGAAATTTCTCTTTTAAAAAGTCAAGAACACGATGTCTAGCCTTTTAGAAATTTATTGACAAAGTTCGATATGATTTAAGCATTTTAAATTGACAACAAGATTGCAAATATTGCAAGTAAAGTATGTTTTTGGGTCCTAGACTACCCGAACTTAAGCATAATAGTAGCTACGCACGGACTCCCATCACCTCGTGCGTACGTAGTCCCCCCTCCCTCCCTCCCCCCTCCCCCACAAATAGGAGCACACATTGATTTATTTCACCTATGGGGTAAATTCCGTCTTACAAGGTTAGAAAGAAGACTTACCTCGCTCCGAAGTTCCATAACCGACTTCCGAGCCCTTTAACAACTTGAATCGATGCACAACGCTCCAAAACTAGCCAATAATTATGCAGACCCATTAATATATACTCAAATACTCAATATAATCCAATTTATAACAATTTCTATCCCCGGTCGAAAAGTCGATAAAAATCACCCTCAGGCCTACATACCCGGATTCCAAAAAATTTCGAAGATAAACTTTACCCATAACCTCACGAACTCAAATATACAGTTTATTCTCGATTCCACGTCCAATTTCATGGTCAAAATCCAAAAATACCAAATTCTAGGTCTTCTAAAACCCCATAATTTATACTAATTTTCATGTTCCAATCCATGTATAATTCATATTTTTAACTCACAATGGGAAGAAACCACCTACCTAGAATTGCTTAATGAAAATCTCCCCTGGAAGCTCTCCAAAATCGCCTAAACCAAATGCAAATGGGAGAAAAATGGCCAAAACCCTTGCTTAAAAGCATTCTGCCCAACCCGACCTTCGCACCTGCAGTGCCTTGGCCGTATCTGCGGTCCCGCACCTGCGAAAATCCCATCGCAGGTGCGGCTCCAGCTCGGCCCAACATTTTTCGCACCTGCGCTCTATGCGGCGCATCTGCGCATCTGCTCCTGCGCTGCCCTCTTCGCTTCTGCACTTGCGCATATGCGGCCAGAAGCTTCGCACCTGCGGTCCTTCACTTGGTCGGTCTGCTCCGCATGTGCGACTCCAAATGTCACTTCTGCGCCCTCCGCACCTGCGGCCAAAGCCTCGCAGGTGTGGGTACACCACATATCAGCTACCTCAACTCTTTGTCAAATTCTAAATTCGATCCGTTAACCACCCGAAATCCACCCGGGGCCCCCGGGACCCCATCCAATCACACCAACCAGTTCCAAAATATATTACGAACTTAGTCGAGCCTTCAAAGCACATCAAACAACGTCGAATTCATGATTTTCACCCATTCCAAGCTTAATAACTTTGAAACTTCAACTTCTACAATCGATGCTGAAACCTATCAAATCACGTCTGATTACCCTCAAATTTTGCACACAAGTCACATTTGACATTACGGACCTATTCAAACTTCCGGAATCGAGATCCGACCCCGATATCAAAAAGTCCGCTTTTGGTCAAACTTCTCAAAAACCATCAAATTCTAACTTTCACCAAATGACTCCAAAATGACCTACGGACGTCCAAATCCACTTCCGGATGCACTCACAGTACCGGAATCATCGTACGGAGCTATTCTCAGACTCGAAATTTCAAACGGACACTGAAAATATTGAAATGCACTTCAACCCAAATTTATGGAATTCTTCCAAAATGCTAACTTCCACAATAGGTGCCGAAACGCTCCCGGGGCATCCAAAACCCGATCCGAACATACGCCCAAGTCCGAAATCATCATACAAACCTGATAGAACCTTCAAATCCCGATTCTGAGGCCGTTTACTCTAAAATCCAATCTTATCCAATTCTTTCAACTTAAGGCTTTCGAAATGAGAATTTTCTTTCCAATTCAACTCTGAACTTCCCGAAATTCAATTCCGACCACACGCAAAAGTCATAAAACCTAAAGTGAAGTTGCTCATGACCTCAAACTGCCGAACGACGTGCTAGAGCTCAAAACGACCGGTCGGGTCGTTATATTCTCTCCCACTTAAATATACGTTCATCCTCGAACGTGCTAAGAACTGTGTTGGAGTTGTCTGAAATCACTGCTTAACACCTCGTGCACCTACCCGTGCTACCACAACTCAGTTGAGCACATTAGCTCGATCAAATATGAAGGTATTTTCTTTTATTTAGGCAGATAAGCCTTAGAGCCCAGTTCCAACATCCAGAATTCTCTGCCAGGCCTGCTTCTAACATACGAACACTGTATCAATCACCACAAGATGTA